GGGGACGCGCGTGTGCCGGCTCTCCTGCCGTCCCCGGGCCGGCTCCTGCGGGAGAGGGGTTGGAGCTCCGCCGGGGAGCTTGGTCCGGCCCTGCACTGCCGGAAAGCGTCGGCAGGCATCGGCGGCGCCCTGTTTCTCATTTTCAGAGCAGAAGGCTTCCTTATTCCTCCAGTTGCCTGCCTTTCTTGGTTGACACCTTCATTTCCTGTGAAGTGGACGCACGCCCCGAATTTAGGCTCTTTATCATTCCCTAAAATTCATGTCCAAGTTACAAATTTGTAGATGGTGTTGCATGACTCAAGCTGTTCTGGTCATTGCCTGTATTAGTGTTAAACTCGCTCAAAGTAGGCTCCAGAGCTCGTCTTTGGATTAATATAAACGCTCACTTAGTCCATGCTCTTGAGGCTGGACTGGTAGCCCTTGTCCAAGTTGTCCACCATGTTGTGGAGGCACAGCTGGCAGCACAGTTAAACTGTTTCCTAATTATTTTTCTCCTCTCGAAGACAGAAGCTTAGGGAAACTTTTTCAGAGGGACCCATACTGTCTGTGTGGCTGGCTCACACTGTATGATTTAGGACAAGGTCAGTTGCTCTTGGTTTTGGTTAGGTTTTATTTTCAGTTTTAGATTTTATTGTGACATAAAGGTTTCTGGAGAAGATGTGTTTTTGGGGAAAAAAGAACCCCACACCTTTATCTAAACTTTTTGTTTGTTTGTTTTTAAATCTTGGAACTAATATTTTACCATAATGAATCCCGAGCAACCCTCAGCAGCATTTAGTGAATCTTCCTGTTGATCAGCAAAGTGTTGCAGCACCGTGGAGCCAGGCCTTTCACAGCCATGATACTGTTTGGTGGTAGGGACAAAAATTAAGCAACGCGTCTAATCTGTAGCCTTTGGGTAGTTTTGAATCTGCCTTCTGTGTGTTATCTGGCTAACTCGGGACAGAATTACAGCCTTCCATGACATCAGCTTTGATGGCGGTAGTTGACCTACTTACAGCTGGTTTTGTTTGCTACTGCTCAGTGTTGGTCAGGTAGAATACAGCTTTAGTGATAATGTCAAGGTTTTTTATTCTCTAATTGGTTTAAATCATTTCAGTGTTCGGGAAGTGACCAAGAGACGTGTACCAAGATGCTATTGAGAGCTTTACTGGTGAGGGAGTTCTTGAGACATTTTTGAAAAGCACCTGTTTTCATTTTAAGGTTCTGGCCTCACTGCTCTATTAGTCATACACCCTGCTGAGCAGCGGGCACTGGACCAAGCAGTGAGTGGGTGCTATTCCAAGAGCAGTGCCTTCAGATAGACAATTACTCATGCATAGCGTTGGACTGCCATCCAGTCTTAGAAGCCAAACAAGTTTGTTGAATTGACAGAAAATGCTTTTCTGCGTCATGGTCTTGCTGCTTAGCGAGTACCCTCTTAGGTTCTTTTCAGAATGGTGTTAAAGTAAATGGGTACCTGGAAGCGTGATCAAGATCTTTGTTTGAGAAGCACTTCTAGCACCAGATTATTACTTGGGTTTTGGTATTTTTTGTGTGCTTGATATATACAACTAATACATCATTGTGGAAATACCTGTTGTAAAAGTAGTTTCACAACAAACTCTTCAGATGTTTGAAATCTTAGACTTAATTGCTCTAAACCCAAGTGTGAAACTTGCTCTATTAGGAAAAAATGGAGGAAAAGTAGAAAAGTAGGGAAGACAACTTTCATGCCCCCTTGCAACAAACAAAAGCCAGTGGAAGTAGGATGTGAATGCCTTTCATGGTGCTGTTTCTTCTCTCAGCTTCTGTTTCTGTCCTAAGTAGTTTGACAGGAATTTAGTACGTTTCAGGAGTGCTTCATGAGCTCAAAGAACAAAGAAGAAAATGTGCTCCATTCATGAGACTACTCACAGAATTCTTCTTAGCCAAGAAGTCCCTGCCAACACAGTACTATAAAATACTCCGGTCCATGAATACTTTTGTAATGATATCAGTGCGCCAACAATTTTGGGATGACTTGATGTGATTTACAAATAATGCCCTAGAAAATGGTGCAAACACAGTTTTCCTTTCAGGGAATTGATTGAAATTTTGGCAATTTCGAGAAACCAGAAGCTCCCACAACCAGGAGAGGAGAGCCAGGTAAGCTGACCTTCTAAACTGTATTTCTTTGGGTAAGCACAATTCTTCTATTGTTTTCTTCTTTACTTTCTTTTTTCTCCCTTTGTCCTTGTTTATACTCAGTCTAATGGTGGTGATGAGGTTTTGGCCCCACTACAAAGGCATTCTTCATTTGTTTGTTCGTTTGTTATATGCTTCATAGCCTATTTTTGCAAACAGAGAAAGGAATTTTGTTTCATTTTTCATGCAAACAGAAATACTGCTATGGATGTCAGTTGCTCTTAGCAGCACGATTGAGGGTGTGTTGTTAATCTAGCTAAACTAAAAGTTCTACAAAACTCTTGTTCAATAGATCCTGGAACTACTGATCCAGAGAGATGCAGAGTTTCAAGAGCTAATGAAGTTGGCAGTTGATCAGGGGAAAATCCATCATGAAATGCAGCTTTTAGAAAAGGTAGTAGAAAAGAGGGATAATGATATTCAGCAGCTGCAGAAACAACTAAAAGAAGCAGAGCACATACTGGTAAGTTCATAATGATGTGTTTGTTTTTGAGCATCTACTTGGGAAAAAGGTGGTTCTGGCAAAAGTTGTGTTAGTTTGAGAAGATTTAAATCTTTAAAACTTTGTAAGAGCTTAGTGGTTTGGTGTGTTTTTTTTGTTTTGTTTTTTTTGTTGGTTTTTTTTTTTCCATTAGTCAAATACTGTTTAGTTATCGTGGTATTCAGTTTTGGTTTATAATGCTAATTTTCTTCCAAACCTACTTTATTTCTGTGTATTTTGAAAGTGTTTGCTGAATACTTTCTCTCTTAAAACGCGATTAAATGCAAGGGTTTATTCATAGAGCAGACTTTATGTAGAAGCTTACAAATTAAAGATGCATTGAAGATTTGATTTAGTCTGTTTTTTTACAACTAGGCAACAGCTGTTTATCAAGCAAAGGAAAAGCTGAAGTCAATTGAAAAGGCAAGGAAAGGTGAGTAGCCATGATTGTACATGCTACATAAATGCAGCTGCAAAGGAAGTTTCTAGTGAGCTCAAGTTAAGGTGTTTTGTTTTGAATTCTACCATCACAGATTTTGAATGCTTCATGCGTAAACAAACTTCCATTTCATTATGAACCTATAAGCATTTCCTCAGAATGAAGGCAGAATTATTTTTTGTGGCAAACACCTTAATATTAAACTTAAATTCAAGTGTCTCAACACTCTTCTTGGACTGATAATAGTCTGTCTCAGGGGTTGTCAACCTTTCCTTCACCTCGGACCCCCTTAAATACCTTTTGTGGCCGCAAACCACCAAGACTTAATTCAAGATTTAAAGCACTAGGTGGCATCAAATACTTATTTCAGTTTTCTCATGAAGGGTCTTCAGATTTGGAGAGAAGGGGAAATAAGTTAATCTGTTAATGCATATAGTCCTATTACAATATCTTTATTGCAGTGATTCCGTAGGAATTTAAATAATAGCATCATCAACACTCTTCTTGCTCAGAAGGCCCATTTTATGGTATTTTAATCTGCTAATTCCGAATTTGATGCCAATTTTTACATTAAAATCTGATTAAAAGTTTTTACAGTTCTTCTCACCCCTCCCTTGTTTGTCTGTGTTCAGTCACCATATATTTTTGTTTACGGGTCCAGTGTCACCACTTGGAGGAACGGCCTTCTAGCCCTGTTGTGGCCCTAAAGAGGACAGTTGGGTTAAGAAAAAGTCTTTAAGAGAAAAACCACCTATTTAAAGTGGGGTCTCACCAACCGTACTAGCCCTGAATATACTAGTGTGTCAGGGCTGGAGGGCAGGTCTTGAGTGTGAAAGGAGTATTGAGGAGAGGGGGCTGTGGGAAAAGGAGATGCAGTCCTTGCTTCAGGCCAGACCAAATGTTTCCGGGCTGGACGTTCCCCACCCCTGCTTTAAGCCTTCGTGGACCCCCTGTGATGACATTGCAGTCCCCCGGGGGCTGTGGACCACAGGTTGAGAACCACTGGTCTATGTGATTGCCAAAGTATCTCACTAAATTGCCTCAGTAGGTCTGTTGAGGAAAGAATGTTCCTGCACATGTGCATTGTGTTGGAAAAACTGACTAGCTGGTGATACTGGTTTGTGTTTGTAGCAATTCTTGCCATTCTGTGGCATTTACTATGCTAAACTGACTTTTTTCTTTGTGGGAGACACTTTCTTCTTTGTGGTTTTTGTTTTTTTTAAGTCTTTTATCATTCTGTTATACCTCTTTCATGTAAAAAATCAAGGATTTTCATAAATTCATAAATACATAAAATATGTAAGAGGCACATATTTAGAAAGCACTTATGTGTATGCAATTACTAAACAAACAAAAATTCTTTACTGCTGAAAATTTCATAATAAAGCAAGCGCTGACATTCTTTTACAAATTTGTGCTTGTCAAGTACACTGCTTAAGAGATTGGTTTGTGTTTTTCACAAGGTTAAACTGTTGACATTGAAGGTGTACTGAACTCGTGGCTGTAACATCAGCTCACTGTGAAGCTCATCCTTACATAATCTAAGAGTCCTCTAAGTAGTCATTGCATTTGAAGCATGCTCTTAATATTTGACAAAATTACATTCCCAATCTTTTAGATATTGGTGTCTATTATTCTGAAATAGAGTGAATGATGCAATCTCTTGAGAAGATAGTAGTTTCTCTTTCATTCTTCCAGGTGCCATTTCCTCTGAAGAAATAATTAAATATGCCCATAGGATCAGTGCTAGCAATGCTGTTTGTGCCCCTCTGACATGGGTACCAGGTAATTATCATGTTTATGACAATAGATTTTTTTTTTTAATAAAGCATGGTCAGAATCTGGTCTTGTGCTTTTCTGCAGTGATAATCACTGAGGTTTATTAGAGTAACATGTTTTCCACTGTTATAGCTAATGTTTTCAACAAAAATGGATATCCAAAGCCCTGTAGACTTTACATATGTCTTCAAAAAGCTACGAAACTGCATGCTTCCATTATGGCCTCCTCTGATGTCCTTTGTTTGCTTCCTTTCCCTGAATGTTGGCCCCAGTTATAAGTTAGAACCAAGTATGTTAAAGGCTTTTCAGTGTGCTTGGTTGTGTTCTCTCTTGCCCCTTATAATATTCTTTTCAGAGCATGTTAGTAAACAGTAGTCAGAAGCAGGGCTTTCATTGTCACATCTCAATTTTGGGAACTATCCTCCTTGTCCAAAAGGAGAATGTGTTTTTTCCAATTCTGCTTTTGCTGCGTAGCTGTGAAATAGCATGGAGAGCAAAAATACCTTCTAAACATGGGGTTTTTGTTTTGTTGGGTTTTTTATGTAGTTTTCTGCCAAGTTTGAATGAACAAAGTCTTAAGTGAAAGACACAGGCTTAGATTTTAATCAGAGAGGTGTGATGGTCATTGCTGATCCAAGCAATCAGAGTACGGGGTGGGGTTTGGTCAGGAAATGTGCACACCTGCAGGGCTGTGGTTTTACTATCATCACAGATGTGGTGAGATGACTCCTGTGATGGAAGTGCTGGAATGGAAGGATACAGACTCTTTAGGAAGGACAGGCAGGGGAGGCAAGGATGGGGTGTCACCCTCTACGTCAGTGACCTGCTGGAGTGCAAGGAGCTCTGCCTGGGGATGGATGAGGAGCCAACTGAGAGTTTATGGGTCAGGATTAAAGGCATAGCAGGGACTGATGACATTATAATGGGGGTCTGCTACAGGCCACCCAACCAGGAAGACCAAGCAGATGAGTATACAGATAGGAGCAGCCTCAAGGTCAGAAGCCCTGGTCCTCATGGGGGACTTCAACCGCCCCGATATCTGTTGGAGAGACAACACAGCAGGGCATAAGCAATCTAGGAGGCTGCTGGAATGCATTGATATAACTGCTTCTCCAAGTGACAGAGGAGCCAACGAGGAGAGGTGCTGGGTTGGACCTTGTTCTCAACAACAAGGAGGGGCAGGTGGAGAGTGTGAAGCTCAAGGGCAGCCTTGGCTGCAGTGAGCATGAAGGTGGAGTGCCTTAGGGCAGTGAGGAGGGTGCATAGCAAGCTTGCTACCCTGAACTTAAGGAGAGCAGACTTCAGGGATCTGCATGGCAGAGTAGCATTGGTTAAAGCCCTAGAAGGAAGAGGGGCCCAAGAAAGCTGGTTAATATTCAAGCATCCATGGCAGGGGGTTGGAACTGGATGATTTTCCAACCCAACCCATTCTATGAAACTAGGCACTGAAGAAAAAGTTAATGTCTGGAAGACAATTGTTAAATATTTAAAAATATTCCTTTGCTTTCTTTCTTAAAAGGGGACCCACGTAGGCCATATCCTACAGATCTGGAAATGAGGAGCGGTCTCTTGGGTCAGATGAACAACCCATCCACCAATGGAGTTAATGGACACTTACCAGGGGATGCACTTGCAGCAGGCAGACTGCCAGGTAAGAGAAACTAATTTTTGATTTGCTTTTTTTTATTCCTTGTACAGTCAGAGGAATTATACATTTCCCCTCACAAGGGCAAATCAGAGTTAAAATAATGAAAGTTATGGCTAATGTTGTTCCCTGGCAGTGAAGATCTAGTAAATATAGTTAACAATTAGAATTGCATAATTTTATTTCATGCTAAATTGTACTGCAGCTACCACAACTAAGTCAATATAAACAAAACTCCTAGTTACCCTTCAATTCATTTACTTTAAATTGATGTGAATTAAGTGATACCAAATCATATTAGAAACATTTTCAAAGCAACCTTCTCATAGCTGCAATGGCAAAGTATGGAATTATGAAAGCTGTACTTGGAAGAAAAGAGGTTTATTGTCATCCCCTACTTGAAGACTACACTATATATGGCAAGACTGTTTGCTTAGACATTCTGGAATGAAAAGACATTGTGAACGACAACTGATGAGGTAGTACCTTGAGTGTAGAAATTGAGCTTAAATGCTTAGTGAAATGGCCACTTCCATGCTAAAATAGAATTTAGCAATAAATTACAGTAACTGAATCAAGAATTCGGTGGTTTTGTACTTGTGCAGCATTAATCTACTATGGTTAGATTAAAATGTGAAAAAATTCTTAGTTTGGATTCATAGATCTGTAACAGTTCTTACCTGTTAAGCCACTTGTAGGTGTTATGGTAAGGTTGTTTTCAAAAATTATACTGAATATGTTAAAAAAGCACGGTATCATGACTCCATTGGAGAAATAGTAAGCTTGGATTTTGTGTCATCTGTCTAATCCTACTGTCACCTCTTAGGAAGTGACTTGAAGGTCTGCATCATATTGCTTTCTAGACCTCTGGCCTTGGATAAAATGGGTCAGTGAGCTGAATAGGAGTGGTGCCCTGTCCATAGCAACCCACCAGGAAAATGCTGAGGATGGGTCCATGTACCTTTTCTGTTCTTTTGAAATATGGTCAGGGGAGATACTAAGGTTGGGTCTTCCTCATGGAGTCTGAGCATTTATTTGTGTAAGTTTTGGTGGAGCCTGTTCTGGCTGGCACCTCTGCCTTAGGGATGCAGACTTGCTGCTTTTACTTTTGAGTGCTGTCTCTGCAAGAGGTGAAAGCCCATTCTTCAGGACTTTTCCTTGAGAAGCTGGAAAATTTGGGATTTAAACTCCTTAAGTAAAGCTGTTAATTTAATCTCGGTCTCCTATGTCAGGGGAAATACTCTGACTTGACAGTCTAGTAATTAGAGGGAAACATCAAAACTTCATTTAAAAGAAAGTAGAGGCTGCCCTGTCATTTTGTGTAGGGATCCTGAATCTGTTGGGTGTGTGGAGGCATGTCCTGAAAATGCTAATTATGGGATCTAGTCCTTTTAGAGACTTCTGCAGAGAATGGTCCCATTGCTGAGTCCTTACTGAGTCTGCCGGCCAGCCACTGGGCTGCTTCATAGCCTTAAAACTCTGGGGCTGCTTAGCACACACATTCCACCTGGTTTGATGGTGGACTGGTTCTGGCAATGAAGCATGACCACAAGATGTGAAACACTGGCTTACATTCTCAGCTGGGTCAAATAAAGTTGGATAACTTCACCACATATGGGATGAGACCACTTGGTACTGTTGTTGGTCTTCCTAAAGCAAGCATTGAACTGATGTAGAGGCTGTATTCTGTCCTTGCATCTGCTGGTGGATTGGATTTGTTGCAGCTAGGTAATGCATCTGGTGTTAGGGGACTCTTGCTGAAGTTCCTGTGTGCAATTTCAGGTCTCTGCAGACTTAAAAGATCGGAAGCTACTATGTGCGTGGCATCTGCGTGCTTCTGAGGCAGTGCCTGAGTGAGAGTTAAGTCTACCATATATGGCCCCCTGCTTAGTGCCCTCTCTTCTGTACTCGAAGTCCCATGTGGGTGGGCTTTTGTTCACTCCTGACTCTGCCTAAGTATTTTAATTCTTGCTTTAAGTGGGAGATAGATGGTTTCTTCTATAGGATCGACTTAGCCTACAGCAGCTGGTAATAAGTGGAGAACTGAAGCACAGCATTAAGGGCACAAATGAAAAGGAACATAAATGGCATACAGATGTGTACTGCAGCTTTGAAATGGGAGCCATTTTGGGGGCAAGGAAGGGAGAGACAAGGAAATGTTGGGAGCGGAAGGTAGGTTGGTAGGGAGTACAGCATGGGATGGCTTTGGAAGTAGGAGCAGACCAGTGAGAGCTGGGAGAAGTCAGAGGCAACTGAAGGCTGGCTTGGCTGGGGCACAGTGGGGCATTCTCACCTCTCAAGTATCTTTGTGGCCCCGGTTTTGTAGTAGGATGTTCTCCTTTGTACTTGATGCAACGTATTTGCTGTTGGAAAAATCACCACCAAGATGTTTCAGCCAAATTTGGGTAAAACCATTTACTCTGAATTTCTGTGGTCTACCTTCAGTATTTTTTTGATCTAATGTTTTTATCTATTTTTGCATACTGACAGAGTGTGACCATTTTCATTACTGCCTGTAGTTGGGAATGTTAAGTCAGTTCAAACTGTGCTTTAAAGGTGAAAAGCTCTGAATAGATACTGTTTTAAAGTGGACTGATGAGAGATCAAGAGTCACCTACATAAATGGGCCTCTTTGGCAGAGTAGGCTTTTACAGTGATAGAATGGCTCCGTCATGAAATATTTTCCAGCTGTTACTAAAGGGTTTAATCTGTCCAAAATTCAGGAAGATTTAAGATTTATTTTAATTTTAAATTGGAGTTCCAGTTGAGCTGTCTTGTTGAATTTGTTGATATACAAAGCTGGTAGTTTGATTATGCCTCTCTTTTCCAGATGTGCTTGCTCCTCAGTATCCTTGGCAGTCAAGTGATATGTCAATGAACATGTTACCTCCTAATCATAGTAATGACTTCATGTTGGAGCCTCCAGGACACAATAAAGAGAATGAAGATGATGTAGAAGTTATGTCAACAGACTCTTCAAGCAGCAGCAGCGACTCAGACTAGGTACAGGAGGGACAGTATCCCTAATAGACCTTTCCTGTGGTGAAGGTAGGTTGGATGCTGTTCATTGCGAAATGCAATACCCTTTTGTTATGCTGGCAGCCCTGTGTAGGGAGAAGATAATAGCTGGCTCAGAAATAGGGTGACATTTAAAACCATAACCATGGACTTTAGAATTCTTTTTTCCATTAGATGTTCAAGTAAAATGGCTGGGAGCTTGTTGCTGGAGGAGAGGTGTCAGATTTCCTGTGATTATGTAAATGTGTGAATGTGTATGTTTGCAAGACACCTCCTGTATATCTGTATTTACTATACATTAGATGACAAAAGTTCCTGGGAAAAAAGGTGTAAGGGGAATCCCCTTGTATTGTTAGTAACTTTACTCTTTTGGTGACAGCCTTTTCTATGGCACAGAAATGAGACATGAAATTTGTAATCTTAATATTTTTTTTTGTTACTGCCTAAGTCCATGTTCTTGATCATCTTTGTGTGTGCCAAGAACAAAAATATGGCAATAAGGTGTAAAAAGGTTGTAATTATTGTAATATATAATGATTGATTTGTCATAAATAAACTCGGCTTTTGTTGTAACTTTGTTTCACTCTGCAAACTGAAATCCTGTGTGTGTTGTTACATATCTTCAATACTCATATTTTATCTCAGTATGTGGTTGAATTCTGATTGAGTTTCAGAAGTTCGTACTCCTTTTTCCCCTTTGCAAAATGCCAAGTCAGTATTAGAAGCAGCTGAGGAGTCAGGAACTGAAAGTCTTTTTCAGCTCAGCTTTATCAGGTACACACATAACTGGGCAGACCCTGAGGCAGTGATGTGGAGTGCCCATTCGCAAGATTTCACCAATACTTTGGTTAAGCATGCTGGGATGCTGGACACAACATGCTTCGTCGAACGCTGCAGGTTCAGCTCCTCTCAGTTCAAAGTGTTCACAGATTCTTTATTCTTGTCACCTATAATTTTTTCTGTTCTTCGAACCCACTAATTTGCTTACTTCAGCAGTTGTATTTCCTGTCTCAGCTACCATGTTTTCATCTTCCCAAGGCACTTCCCTTGGCTTTCCTTTTATGTTTTGCTTAAGGAGTAATTTTATGACAGTTATGTTTCTCTTTAGTTTTCTGATTTGATCAGAGAGTTACTTATGTGAATTGTTGCTTATGGCAGTTACAGGTTTCTGCACTGCAACAAGGCTTCCTGAGCACAGATCACAATTCTCCCCATTTTTCCATTTTGTAGATTCCAAGCAGGCAGTTTCTGATAAATCAGGTCCTTCCTCATTTGGTCAGATAATCTTTCAAGTATTTCTGTCAGTAACACTGTGACATATGACCAACAGAAGTACAAGTCCCATAAGGATGTAGAAATGAAAAGGACACATAACACAGGGCAGTGGGTTTTGTTTTAAAATGGGGTATTTGGTTTTGTCTTAGCTGTTCCTTTTGGAAGTATTTTCAGTTATTAAAATTTCACTTCTGTTTGGCAGTCTAAAGTTAACTCATATACATATATATTTTAACCTTTTATTCAGTATCAGCTTTTCCTCTTTGGTGTTTACCCCTCATGTCTTTACAGAGAACTGTATTTCTTCTTTAATTCATGGTAATCCCAGTACACCTGGCCTCTCTCAATCATCCTAGTTAACCTTGCCTATGCCTCTTCTAGTTCACACAGACATGTTTAAGAAAAAAACCAGATTAGAATCATACACAGTATTGCAAAGTGCAGTTTCTTAATACTTTGTACCATGGAATTAGTATTTTCTTCCCTAAATGCCACACCCTTAACTCATTTTATGATACAGCCACAGCCTACTAGTCTCTTTTGTTTTCTCATAAGAATATCACTTTTTTGGAATGAAATGCAAACAGAGGTAATTTATAGTCATGGAAAGTGTAATGTACAGTCTGCCCAAAGCAGTCTACATGGCTATATCATATGATTAACAAATATTGTGGAGGTGTGTGATTGTTTCCAGACACAAATAAGAATTAACAGAGGCAATGACCACTTCTTTTTCTGAGTTGTGTGCTAGTCTTTTAAAGGATTAAATGCAACCAATATGTTATATGTAATAGATAAGATGACAGCTTTGCCCACTGTTAACTTATGTAATAGAATTTCCTAATTAGCAAAAGTACTAAAAATCAAAGTGAAAGGACTGAGTCTTAGCAGCTTAACTATTTAGAATCAAATATTTTTTTTTGGGGGGGTGGGGGAAGGCATGAATGCATGATATACAAAACCCAAGTTATTTAAATTAGGGATTGCTGACAGCAGCAATGCACTGTAGTCATTTAATCAGTCCACTTAGGATACAGAAACTCTGACATAGGTACTGTCTGTGTCCTCATTTCAGTAACTACTTGTGTATTTACAATACATAGAATAAATATAACCATTAATGGTAACAAAATATTTATTGCATGACAAACCATTTTACAGTGACCTTGTTTTTCCCATCAGGAGCTAGATGCCTTCTAAAATTTAAAATTGTGCTAAATATTTTTTCTTTTTTTCATTATTCTTTGGGACAGATGGGCAGACATCTGTCAAATCTTCCTACAGCCTCTTTGTTGACAGCTGAACAGAATAATATTCAGTGTACATAAAGTTGCTTTCAGAAAGAAAATCTCTGCTTTTGAATAGAAAAAATAGGCTTTCTACAAAGATACAGTAGTAAAGGCATTTTCAGTGATACTTTTAATTTCAAAACCGCTTTATAACATTACCTTCTTTCTTCACTTCATAGAATATCTGTCCTAAGGGAAGTTGTGCATAGTTAATACTGCCAATTCTAAGCAGGAGGCTTGCAGTCGTCAGTAGCATTCTTATAGCTCCTATCATTGATTCTTGAGCAAAAAGAGCCACCTCCATTTAAGAAAACATATGCAGAGAAGAGCTTTAAACCCTTGAAGCTCATTGAACTGAAAAGTCAGTCCTTCCAGAAAATTTTAATCCTTCAGTATTGTGCTTCTCTTTTATTTAAAAGAAATTAAAGGTACCTCAGAACATTTTGTACGAGGGGTATATCTAAAGGAAACAGACAAAACCTGTGTTTTTAAAGAACCCTGAAGTGGAAAAAAAAAAAGCAAGACAGTTATTTTTAAAGTCACATTGTAAAATTAATTGCTGATGTCCTAATGACCGCAGCTGGAAAAGATTCAAATCTGGTTACGGATTCTAGAAAAATGAAAAATATAAATTAATTGGTTTTCTATATGCCTTATGTGTATTGTGATTTCATTCAGTCACATCAAACTGAAAACTAACAATTCTATCAAATCCCAGTGGCCATACAGAATGACACCCATTTGTGCTGTTTAATACTGACAACCCTCTAGCCAAAATGTATGACTGTCTGCTGTAGAACTACACCTGTAAGTGATATTAGTTTGTACAATGTTATTTGTATCAGCCTAGTAGAAGACTGTCGGCACCTCTCCATTAAACTATTAAGAATTTAGTAACATGATCAGGAATTAAGATCAACTGCAGATACACACTTCTGTAGATAAACTCTAATGTAACTGAGGCTACAAACAGAACTCCAATGAAAGGGGGTGGCAAGAATGGTCAAGGAATATTCATTCCCTGCAACAAGCCACTGCAACCCTTTCATGTTTATAATACCCGGATTTTTGAGTATGTACTACTGTCTGCAGGAGAATGAGGCATTGTCTGTAAAATGTCTTTTGTTCATGACAGTGTCTTAACTTAAGGTGTAAGATAAGACTAAGTTTAAAAATTGGTCCAAGATTTATAATTACAGGAAAGCAGCATAATATATGAAGCAGTTCTACATAGAAAGTGGTTTAAACGAAACAGTTTCTTTTGGGCCTGATGCTGCAACTGTTTCCAAGTGAGTAAGCTTCCTTGACTAGTTGTGACCTCCAAAGGGCTATTAATCTATATAAAGATTAACCAGATCAAACACTGTGAGTCTTCTAGAAAAGAAAACATTAACTGTTAACCACTAGAGCCAGAAATAGCTCTGGAATGAGAGACAACTGTTGTATGAAACATGGTAAAACCACTGAGGCATTTGGCATCTTTTTGGCTTTGGGAAGGGTAGTAGTTTCACATGAGCACTGTGAGCATGATAATCTTTTTCTCTTTTACACCAAAAAATCAGGTCTGTCCTTTGTTTGTTACATAATGTACAATTGGTTTTTACACTAGTTGGTGGCTTCCCGTGTAGCCCTTTAGATGATCGAGCTCTTCTGTAAAGGGATTGTAACCTTGCTCTCTTAAACAGCGTAATGCCCAGAACAGTTGATCCGCTGGAGGAAATTCATCCCATTTAACCCATTCCCAACCTGTAGGAAAAAGAAAAAAATAAAGCCAGAGTGTAAAATTAATCGTGTAGCAATTCTGCCTCTTCAAGTCCGGATGGACTGCGCAGAAATTACCCCAACAAATTCGAGTTCTCTGCTGCATGCAAGGAACTTTAAAGTGGCTCCCGTGAAGTTCTGACCCTCCCGGGAACGCGCGTTCTCTCACATCTGCAGAACTCACGGGCCTGCAGCCGCTCCCCGACCTCAGTCTGTCGGAGCGTGTGGGATACAGGGAAGCACAACACAGATGAAGCCAGAACGTGCTCAAAGGCGTACTCTGGGAGCGCGGCGCCGCCCGCACCCTGCGCCTCCAGCTCACCCTCGTTCTTGTCGGGCTCGCGGTTGCGCGGCTCGGCCCCCGGCTCGGCCTCGCCCTTCATGAGGACGGTGACGTAGTGGTAGCGCGCGGCGGCGCACACCGAGTTGACGGCGGAGGCGAAGCGCACGTTGC